TTACATAATTTTCACCCTTTTTTTCTACACTTTCCATTGATTTAAGGAAGAATTTTTAGTGGAATAAAATTTTTTAATAGCTTCACTATGAAAATTGCAAGATGTGTATACTTTGAAGCTTCTTTTTTGTGTTTTTCAAAGTATCGAGTAATTTTACTCTACACTTCCACGTAATTACACAATTTTCACCCTTTTCCTACCTATGTAGGGACGAATTTCGAGCGGAATAGTACTTTTTCAGCAGTTCCACTGGTAAAATTACAGGATACACTAGTTTAATTAGTTCATCTCTAGTTATACGAGTGTTATTTTACAGCAGAGTGCACGGAGCATCTGAAAATAAACCTTCGAGGGAGTCTTCATGCTCCGCAATCATTACTCTCGGTTCTCTGTCCCTGACACTTTCCAGCACTTACAATTCCGTCAACTTCGAGACTTCAACGCTCCCTTGGACGCCGTGCACACGTGCCACTGCTTTCTTCGTAGAATAATATTTTTTAATAGGTCCACTGGGAAAATTGCAAGATATGGGTGCTTCGAAGCTTTACTCTACACTTCCAAGTAATTACATAATTTTCACACTTTTTCTACCTGTATAGAAAGAATTTTGAGAGGAATAATATTTTTCAATAGGTCCACTGGGAAAATTGCAAGATATGGGTGCTTCAAAGCTTTACTCTACACTTCCACGTAATTACATAATTTTCACCCTTTTTTCTACACTTTCCATTGATTTAAGGAAGAATTTTGAGTGGAATAACATTTTTTAATAGTTTCACTATGAAAGTTGCAAGATGTGTATACTTTGAAGCTTCTTTTTTGTGTTTTTCAAAGTATCGAGTAATTTTACTCTACACTTCCACGTAATTACACAATTTTCACCCTTTTCCTACCTATGTAGGGACGAATTTCGAGCGGAATAGTACTTTTTCAGCAGTTCCACTGGTAAAATTACAGGATACACTAGTTTAATTAGTTCATCTCTAGTTATACGAGTGTTATTTTACAGCAGAGTGCACGGAGCATCTGAAAATAAACCTTCGAGGGAGTCTTCATGCTCCGCAATCATTACTCTCGGTTCTCTGTCCCTGACACTTTCCAGCACTTACAATTCCGTCAACTTCGAGACTTCAACGCTCCCTTGGACGCCGTGCACACGTGCCACTGCTTTCTTCGACGCGTAATTAGTCGCGGGTCACATCGAAAGCTAGAACTTATTTAACCTGGGACACTTGTCAAAGTTCACGCCGTACAAATAGTTCCTCAGGATGGAAATATCATTTAAACTTCGTACGGTCTTCTCTCGACATCCAGGGAACATTTCCAAATATGCACCATTCGACGAGGAAAAGATAACGATAAATTCTCAGTGTATTGTTTAACCCGTTCTTCAAATTCGACAAATTCGTTACTTTAACATTTGCAAAATGTGATAAAAAGAAATTAAACAAAATGTATCTGTGCTAAGTGGACAATGTGTAACGATAATAAGAAATTCGGAAAATAGTTCGTTTTCATAGCGAAGCCAATAGTGTCACCTGGAGTATATTAAATGGAAATGTATCATTTTCTAATAGAGTGAAGGAAGTCCTTAAAGTTAGGGGTTGGAAACATTGTCTGGAATATCTCGAGAATTAGAGGGTCTAGGAAAAACAATTTTGTTTTTAAATCACATGAGGAATTAAAAAAATCATTTATTCAAGTAATATATTAAAAAGTAATTCCTTTTTGGTAGCTAGAATTGTGGATTCAAATACACAAAGAATTAAAGAAATCATTTCTTTAAATAATATATTGAAAGAATTCCCAAATTGCAATTTTTCTTGCAAAATGTTAACCGATTTTCCCATAAATTTGTGTATGTGAACTATAGATCGAAATAGGAGATACGAATTTTTTGGAATACTTGTTTCTTCCAAACAAAAATGATTAAATCCTGGAAAGGTAAATATTGCTATTGTGGGGTTTTTGGTATGAAAGAGTGAATGTGGGGAGAGATGAGGAAATGGAGACACTTGGTGTAAATGGCCTGGAAAGGAAGAACGAACGAAAGACGATGGGTGGCGTATTTGTTTATGTTTGACAATAACATAGGTTGTCAAGCCGATCTCGGCGTGTGTGAGTGTGTGTGTGTGGATGCGTGTGTTGGGGAAAAAGGAGAAGAGTGTGGTGTGTGTTTGACCAGCGAACGAGAAGCATCGAACCGTAAATATTAAGAGAGCGAATTGCATTTTCCGTGACAAATAAAGATAATATTAGTGAACAGCACATACACACAACAGTTAATATACATAAAAAGTAATCAACAAAATCCAACACTATTTTGACTATTGTAAATTGAATATCGTGTAAATTAAACCGTGACAAATGTGTCGAATAGCAATTCCCCCGAAATTCCGTCGGCCTATATCAAAGACACGAGGGTCGATCGAGATCGCTGCGGTCCTCGTTGCTTATCATTCGCGGCTAATCAAGGCGCATTTGCGTAGAGCAACGAACGTGAAGCGTACACCAGGGTAGAGAGTAGTCACATCGAAGTTTATCGCGTGCAAACGTTTCCGAGTTGGAAACCGAGTAGCAGCAGAAGGAAGAGGAACGGTAGAATCCCCCAGTCGCGGCGTATCTATTCATTAAGTAGCTAGACGCCAAACGAGATTTCCATCGGTAATTTCGTACAGGCCAGCCGGCGTGCGTCGCCGCGTTCGACCGGTCGATTTGCATATTACGCCGTTTTCGCCATCTGTCCTCGATATACAGAGCAGACGATTCAGCTTTGGTCCACACACGCCCCCTCGTCAATCTCTCTCTCTCTCTCACTCTCTTGTATCGTCAAGATTTTATAACCTCGGTTATATCGTTCCCTCTCTCTGACCGTTTCTCTGCGCGCGTGTAGCTTTATTAAATATTCAAATTTGGAAGTTCCTGGCCAACCTCGTGCTGCGGTCGCGAGAGAAACCTCCAAAAAAAGGGTGAAAAAGCAGGAAGGGGAGAGGAAAAAGGACAAGGGATAGGCGTTCACGAGGCGATCGCGCGGAGAAAATGAATTCGCGCGCCGCCACCTGCCGATCGCGAACATCGCTCGCGTGCTCTGGTCTCTCGTCGATGAATATTTCACGACCGACGCCGCACCGTTCTGTTTTCGACCGGTGGAATGGGTTACGCTGCAGCTCGATGGATATCGTTCGGTTTGCTTTGATTTTCGCTGATGCAGTAAGCTTTGCCTCCCCGTTCTTTTTTCTTTTCTTGTTGCAATTTCTTTTGTTTCGTCCTGCGGATACCTTTTGGGGTTTGTTGTTTGGATGATTGGGAGATTAGGGGGCGTGAAGGGTGAAAATGTGTGGGGAATATATTTTCGAATTCATTTTTCGGGGCGATTTTTCGCGGGTTAATGGTGACCGGCGGAAGTGTGAGAATGGAAAATGTGTACTGAATATTGAAATTGGTGGATTGGAGAATTTTTTTGATTTGCCAGATTGTGGAGGATTTTTGGGAAATGTAGCTAACCGGAAAGTGGAGAATTTTTGTGAAATGTACCTAACTAGAAAGTGGAGAATTTTTGTGAAATGTATCTAACCAGAAAGTAAGGAATTTCTGTGAAATGTATATAACCAGAAAGTAGAGAATTCTTGTGAAATGTATCCGACCACAAAGAGGAGAATTTTTGTGAAATGTACCTAACCAGAATGTGAAGAATTTCTGTGAAGTGTACTTAACCAGAAAGTGGAGAATTTTTGTGAAATGGACCTAATTAGGAAGTGAAGAATATCCGTGAAATGTACTTAACTGGAAGGTGGAGAATTTTTATGAAGTGTACATAACCAGAAGATGGAAAATTTTTGTGAAATGTACCTAATCAGAAAGTGCAGAATTCTTGCGAAATGTATGTACCCAGAAGGCGGAAAATTTCTGTGAAATGTGTCTAATCAGAAAGTGGAGAATCCTTGTGAAATGTACCTACCCAGAAAGTGAAGAATTTCCGTGAAATGTATGTATCTACAGTCTCAGAAACTGTAGAATATTCACAAATTGATTCATTCCCCCGCAAAAAAGATTCTCCTAAATTCACACTCACCCTCAACAAGATCTTCACGAAACTGAACAGCCAGTCTCTCCGCAGTGGAGAAACAGATGCTAGCCATGAAGCAGCCTACCAACACCACGAACGAGCCAAGCAGACTCCACACGAACAGCCTCAGGTTCATCCAGGCTCTGAAACGAACGAAGAATCGACCATTATCATCCGCCACGCTTCTCCAATCGGGTCGCTTAATCCATAATCTTTATCTAAGACAGTCGGGAACACGGTCCATCGATTCTACGGGTTCATTTTTAACCCAGCAAGGCACCCGTCCAAACTAATTTTCGCCAACCCTCCAATTTCCACCTCTACTCTCTGAACACACACACACACATATTCACCTATCTCTGTGTGCATTAACGCTCGTGTATGTGTCCAGGTCTGTGTAGAGGGCGCGAAAATCTCTGGCCATCGACTAAACCGCGAAGATACGTTAACGAGCGAAAGGGTAATTAAAACAAATGAACCAGCGGCAAGAGCGGAGAGAGAGAGAATATCGGCGCGGAATTACTTGAAAATTCTGACAAATCGATCGGCGTTCGGGAAACGGCGCGCTTTCCAATTCGCACACGGCCCAGAGTGGGAGAGACAGCCCGTTCGAAAATTAAGAAAAACACGCCAGGGGTTAATTCTCCGGCCGTTCCCCAACGAGGTTACGGGGCTCGAATCCACTTTTCCACCTCTTTTTCCCACTCCGCCACGTTTTTCCACGTTGTCTCTCTACCGTTTCTCTTCATCCCGGCTTTTAAACAGCCCAACGAACGACGGTATTCTGATTGTTACTGTATTTTCTCTTTACCCCGGTAAAAGGGTCAAATTGCTGATTAACTCTCGGTTCAGATTCGACTTAACCGGAATTTACCGATTGATTTTACGATTCTACCGGTACACGGATAAAGTGGAATTTCTCTCTCTTTTTTTCTTCTTTCTTTCACTCGGCAGGATTTTTTTCCTGCGAATTGCACGGGTCCCTCAAACCAGGTGTCGAGAATTTTCGAAAAAAGATACGCGCTGTACACGTGCGCCTAGATTACACAGGCCAATTTTCCCCCGCGAACATCGTCAGCCACGGTTCAAACTTCGTTTTTACGATTCTTTCAACCTCTGCTTCCGGTTTTCGCTTACGTCGCCACTTTTTTGCTTCACTGTTTCCCCCAAATTTTCACCCAATCGTCCCGGTAAGTTTCTTTTATATTCCCTTCCAGCTTCAATTTTGGCCGATTTTCAAGTTCTGCGAGTGCTTTTTCACGTGGATATTCTTAATTTACGAAGATTCTCGATTTTCGGAGATTTTCAATCTACGGGGTGACCGAATTTTCAGCGATTTCTTAAGTTTGGAAGTTTTGCAATTTTGGAGGTGAAAAATTTGGTTTTCTCGATTTTTAAGATTCTTCTTTTGCGTTGCAAGGGGTTCGCGGTGGACTTTTATATTGTTTACCACAGGTTGGACATTGTACCGGGTGGGATTCGATTGGAAGTAGCAATTGATCGTATTCACGCATCCGCGACGCCCCTAATGAATGCTTCAATCCGGCGAATCTCCGCGCGCGTCGCGGTTTCCACCCGGGAAATATCAAGAATATCCTGTCGTTGCTCTCGTTAACTCATTTACGCGAAATCACGGGCTCGATCCGGCTGATTCGCAATTTGCCCCGTATTGTGCGACGAAATTCGCCCGCCTTCCCGCTTCTTTAATTGCGCTCATTCGCTCGTGGACCAAAAGATCGTGTAATTTAACATCCTTACAAATTAATGTACATAAATAATCAGAGGAGGTGGAATCGTGCGTTTAATTATACACCCGTCGGGTGAGACACACTCGACGTTGTTAAGCCTATTATATTTTCTAATAATTATTTTGTATATTCTACTGCAACGAAAATACGTTATTTCCCTGAAATTCGTAGATTAACTTACGAGTGACATCTTTCTTTTTGAAATGTAACTTTAAATTTACAGTATCTCTTATGAATTCCGAAGATCTTTTAAGTTTCCCACATTTTCGAATATAGATGAATATTGTAAATTAAAGAAACCTTCGAATTTATAGTCAATACTGTAAATTTAAAAAACCCTCGAATTTATAGTGAATATTGTAAATTAAAAACACCTAATTTATAGTGAATATTGTAAATTAAAGAAACCTTCGAATTTATAGTGAATATTGTAAATTTGAAAAATTATTGGAATTTATAATATGATAAATATTGTGGATTCGAAAGATTTTTTAAATTTCCAATATTTACCATAAATTCCAATGATTTCAAAAATTTCCAATATTCACTCTAAATTCCAAAATTTTTTTAATTTACAATATTCACTATAAATTCGAAAGTTTTTTGAATTTACAGTACACACTATAAATTTATAAAGCATTTTAATTTGCAATATTCGTTGAAATTCGAAAATTTTTAAATCCAGAGAACGACACCACTCATTAACCAATTATTAAATTTTCCAATCGAAATAAAATTCCACTAAAATTACCCTTCAGCGTAGTGAAAATAATTGTAGCACAACTTCAGTCCCATCAGATTATGAACGAACACGTAAAGACCGTAAATTGTCAACGTCTTGAACACATGTTCGAAGAGATTCCTCTCGTCGAGTTTCAATCTCGTGGCCATTGTGAATGAAACGAACAATCCCGAGAAGAACAAACACATTCCAATAACAAGACTGACCAAAACACCCAGCATCACGTAACGATGAAGACGTTCTCTCTGGTTCCACGTGAACCTAATATCGCAGAAGGCCATTTTGTATCGTCACAGGCGACTTTCTTCTCTTCGATGCTACAGAGTGACACGGATAAATCGAAACGAGAGAAAATGTACCGTGTGCTGGGCCAATTAGATGGTTCGGCGTTGTGTAATTCGTCGAGAATTCTCGTGTGAGAGTCAGGGCCGGTTTGTTCCCGGCTAAGGATCCGGAATTTCCTCATTCCCGCGACGGAAACTGTCCCCGCCGAGGTATTTCTACGGTATCCAGAGAGCCTTGGGTGCATCGTGTCTTTCCGTCTACTGGGTGACGCCACAAATAAATACCGAACTTTGTTCTCTTTCGAAAATATAAATTGGAAGTGTAGAATTTAGTAGAAGGAAAGGTGAAAGTATTTCTTAACGCGTATCGGGAAAAGAGAACGCTTGGATAGCAATTACAAAATAGAGTTTCGAAGTGTATATCATCGAGTTTTGTGAAATGTACTTGCAATGTAGCTTTGGAAAAAATATTTGGCACGTATTCTTTTTACGTCCTGATTCTAAAGTTTTGAGGGTGAAAGTGGTCTTGAAATTTGACTTTTCCATATCTCGAAAATTATTTGGTTGGAGAAAATGTGGAAGTGTATGAAACGTGTGCTTTTTTTTACATTTCTAATAAAAATTAATACTGTTTTGTTAATTCTTGTCGCAAAATGTTTATCCCTCCCCACATAAAATTTCACGTGAAGTTCCGTCAAGTGTAACTTATCTCCTGAAATGTATCTCCCTACATTTCTGTCAACGAGCGGTTGTTGCGAAGAACGAACGTCCGCCACAATAAAGAACCGCTGATCTGAATCATCCTCGAAACACATTGAAAGCTCTTTCAACTAGATACACTTCATTCTCATACTTTCGAAACACCCTGTACGACCTCTCTTTCCTTCCGCATTTATCCGCGAATTTTTGCCTCCACGTGGAAACGTTTTGGCACGAGAGATATCATTCCGCGATAATGGTACATTAAGCAGCGTATCGCATAAAGAATCCCTCGAATTTCTTTCATGCAGCTCGGTCCTCAGACGTAAGAAATTTTCCGCGAGGAAAACCTCTGTCATTTTTCCTTAAACCTAACCTACTAAAATTCTCGCCAGCCGGAACTTTCGTCCGGAGAATTTTCGCCGATTCTCCAAAGTTCCCCGAAGTTCGTCGTCGATGCAAAAATCGCACGACGCGACGCACGACGATTCGAAAGGGACACGCACACATGGACAAACCCGGCCAGCTGGAGTAGGAAAATCGTTTCACGACCAAGCGAAAGTTTTTTAATTTCGCCGCGAAGGGGGATGGAAACGGCGGGGGTTTTTCATTAACAGAAAAATCCGCTCGGTACAGGGGATTACTTCCGGGTCACCCGGTACGTGCGAACGCGATACCGCGCGCGCAAGACACCAACTATACAAGCGAACGAGCGAGTGGCGGAGGCATTCGGTGTACTCAAGGCTGGAAGTTGCAAAACGTGTATGGCCTCTCGTTGCTCTCCTCTCTCTCTCTCTCTCTTCCTATGAAAACAGTCGTTTCGTACGGGAAACTCTGTGTACTATCCAGTCCCTCCCTCGAACCTCGAATGAAAATGAATTCCGTTACCTTGGCGATAACCGATAGAAAAATTCGGATCAGTATTGCAGCGGAGGGTTGTTTGTGAAAATCACGTTGCTAGGTGGAATTTTCGAGAGAGGAATTTTTAATCATTTTCTTCTTTGATAACCGCGATAAATTCGGAGACAATGTATGGCCCCGATGGCGCACCTAGTGGCCGTGGAATAATCAATTACCGCGGGATCATTAATTTGCTTGGAAAAGTACAATGATTTAACGGGAGAGCTGCGGCAAATGTGGAGCGGGGGTGGGTGGAAGTGTAACTAAGTGCGACGATTGTGACTCGATGGGTATTAACAGTGTTACTGTTGTTCGGGTTGGAAAATGTTGAAATATGAAATATTTAATCTAACATAACCTCAACTATCCTCCTGCCTTGTTGTTGTTGTTAATTTCAAAGCTCTAATATACAAGTGAATTCATTTCCATTCATGGCTTTGCTTAAGAAAATTAAAATAGTTAACATAACCTAAAAAATTCAATGTAATTTTCATTGAAAGTTTTATCTAGAAAAATTGAAACGGTTAACCTAATCTAACCTCAATTATCCTCCTGTTTTGTTATTATTATTAATTTGAAAGCTCTTATATATTTTCCCTTTGTGGAAAAAATTCAATGTAATTTCCATCGATAAGTTTATCTAAAAAAATTGAAATGGTTAACCTAACATAACCTCAATTGTCCTCCTAAATAAATCCTCCTCATTATTAATTTGGAAGACTGTGATACATAAATGTGTCTCTTTGTAGTAAAAAATGCAACGTATTATAATTTCCATCGCCAGATTTGTCTAAAAAAATTAGAACAGTCACCCTAACCTAAAAAATTCAACGAAATTTCCACCGACAACTGTACGTACCATAAATACAAGTCCTCAAACAAAGAAACGTTTCGTAAAATCGTCGAATTTTCACCTTTCACGTAATTCCACTGATTATCGTGCAATAATTAAAACACATTATTCATTTATGCATCGTTCCACGCGTAATCATTTTCATCGATCACAATCGAACTACCAACATCCCTTCATAAGCTGCAATCAATCAATCCATTTGATCGAGCATAAAACCAAATCTATTATACTTTCCGCAGGCACGTGATACGAGGTTCGAAATTGACCGAAAATGAAGTTTCTATTATTCGGCCATAACGATTTCACCCTGCATATAGGGAAAATCCTCGGTGATTCTACCACCGTTCCATTCATCCTCCCGTCCTTTTTCCATCTGACCCCGTGAAACAGGCCAGGTGCAACGGTTAACAGCGGCCAATGAAAACGTTTCATTACCCTCGTGTGTCCGTGTTCCACGGTTTATCGCGTTTGTTTACCCTCCTCAGCCCCGCTCGTTCCCGGAAATCCGCGGGAAATCATCGAGCCTCCCACCGTTTAAACGCTGTTTCACCACCGTCCTCGAGAGGATCACAGGGCCCTAGGTTAACCGAGCATCGCGACTAAGGACCGATTCGACGGGCTCTTCGTCGAGTTCGGCCGTTTTAGAGACTTGCTTCGAGAACTTCGGTTTTACGACGGAAATTCAGATTCACGTTCGGTCGAAGTTAGGGTACACTGTCGAGCTTGCATTAGCAGACGGTGGATCGAAGAATATTTAGATGTGTGTTCGAAGAGTTTTTTTTAAGTTGCTTTTTTAAGGGAGATGATTTGCTGGTTTTTGAGATTTCAGATTTATCGAGATATCTTTTTTGTGGGTTTTGAAGTTTTAGAGATGCTGAGTTTTTGGGAATTTTTTTATTGTGGAAGCATGAAAGGTTTAAAGAATTTTTAGAAGGTTTGAAGGTATGGAGATTCTTAATTTCCGGAGATTTTTCCAATTTTTCCAAATTTTCATGGGGATTCTCAATCTTCGGGAATTTCCCTTCTTCCAGATTTCCACATTCTGAAGATTCCGAATTTTTGAGAATTTCCAATTTTCACGGACTTCCAATACTGAGAGAGAGAGAGTCCACATTTCGAGTTCTGGAGACCCTCGATCTTCGGAAATTTCCATTTTTCCAGATTTTCACTTTCTGAAGATTCCGAATTTTTGAGAATTTCCAATTTTCACAGACTTCGAATATTGAGTGTGTGTGTAAGAGAGAGAAAGACAGAGAGTCCACATTTCAAATTCTGGAGATCTCAATCCCCGGAAATTTCCCTTTTTCCAGATTTTCACATTCTGAAGATTCCGAATGTTTGCAAATCTCTAATTCCAGAAATTCTCAATTTCCACAAACTTCCAATATCGAGAGAGAGAGAGTCCACATTTCAAATTCTAGAAATCTTCAGTCCCCGGAAATTTCCCTTCTTCCAGATTTCCACATTCTGAAGATTCCGAATTTTCGAAAATCCCCAACTTTAAAAGCTCTCAATTTCCACAAACTTTCAATATCGATACAAAGTCCACTTTTCAAATCCCGGAGATCCGCAATCCCCACAAAATTCCATTTTCCACATTTTCAAGCTCAGAAAATTCTTGATTCCCAGAAATGTTCAAATTCTCAAGATTCCGAATTTTCGAAAATCTCCAATCTACAGAAACTCTCCATTTCCGACAAACCTCGAATATCAAGAGATCCTCTACGTCGGAAAATCCTCCGTTCCTCCAGATCCTCAAACACGAAATATTTTCTCCAGTCAAATAACACTTCACCGAATAATAGTGCCATCACGCTCCAATTTTTTATTTTCCCGATACCTACTCCTCCGTCGGAAACGCGGGGGCGCGCAGTTTGACAGGTCGGCGCTGATCGATTAAACTTTCAACGAATTTTCCCCGATCCCTCGTCGATGTATAGAGCAGAGTGTGCGCGCGCGCGCGCGACAAACGCGTGTGCGGTAACTCAAACAAACAAACCGAACAAACGGTCCGCCTAAATCGTGCCAATCGATCGCTCCTGGTTGACCAGCGGATCTATGCCTCAATTAACACCTGGTCGGTACGTGTGCGCCTGGTCGCAATACATCCAAATCAATCCTCATTAGCATAGGTTTTAATTTAATTGCCGCTGGGTACACGCGCCTCCTGGTGCCTCGTTATTTTTCTCCCTCGAGTTCCACTTCCGCACTCGTGTTACTTTGTGTCCACTGGCTGTGTCCTCGATGGAAATGCTAAATAGCCGGAGAATTTATCGCTAGCAAGAAAATTTCCAATTGTAAAATTCTCTCTTATCGTAGAAATTCTGATAGTTTATTCTGGCGTTGATTGTACGAGATTTTAACGGAGGACGATTTTGTTCTTCGTTTCTGAATTGCTCGTTGGTATTCAATATTTTCTGAGTTTTTCAGTTTGAGTCGTTCAGTGAACTTATCGATGTCGAACAAATATTTCACACGTATGTTTCTTTTCATCGGCAAACTTGGAGATTGAATTAAGAGGAAAATTCTGATCCTCGTTTCTCAA